ACCATCACAGCAACCACCCCAACCTTGCCCAACGCCAGCCGGTCCAATCTGTGAATAAACCTCTCCTCCGGTCGGTCAGATAAACATTTGTGGATAGCCACCACAGGTTTCAGTCCCAGCGTGACCTTGTTGGAGTCCTTGACCCCTGACCATAACCCAGCGATGAGAATAACGAAAAGGTTCAGGAAGAGGAGGAGAGTGAGACTCAGCCCAAATCTGGGTCCGCCCCGGCTGAGAAGGTTCACGGTCACAGGGTCTGTGAGTTCCCTGACCTCTGCGAACTGGCGGCCCTGGATGAGCGCGACAGGTATGGAGGTGTTGTGGAAGAGCGAGAAGTTGGCGAGGTCGTGGCCGTAGGTCGTGTTGGTCCAGGGGTGGCCCATGTAGTCCACGACCAGCAGGGCGGCTCCGAGTCGTTCATGGACAATCTGAGCCTTCTCCAGGACCGAGCAGTTACCCCTGGGGAAGGGAGAGATGGGGCAAAAGTAAGATCATTGTCTATTTTTTTCCTATAGGAGAGATGTGACATAATATTTAAGGTCATTGTCTGCTGTATCACCACGGGAGAAATGTGACAAAAGTAACGTAAGGTCATTGACTGCTCTATTTCTACAAGTGCAAGAGAGATGGAACAAATGTAGGGTCATTGTCTGTTTTATTTCTACAGGAGAGATGTGACATAATTATGTACGGTCATTGTCTGCTCTTTTGCTGCAGAAGAAAAAGTGTTGTTGTTTTTGTTTTTTTTTTGGTAAGTATGTTACGGTGCTCGCAACTGCACAAGTTCATATGAGCGCGCGGGACACTTAAAAACATTTTCAGTTTGGTAGAATTTTTTAAAAATTTTGCCCGGGTGGCGGCCGAAGCCTACTGTTATCAATTTTGGACACCAAGTGGTATTTAACCAAACTTTGGTGGCCATTTTCTCGCTACTTTTACCTTTGGCACTTTTCGAGCAACCAGACCTATGCACCTTTAGTCGTCTCTTACGACACACGGTATCACGGCAGGTGGATTCTTTGCTCCCCCATAGCAAAACTATTGGGCTACCCACCTGCAAGGGCGACATATTTACAGACACAAAGCATAAAACAGGTTCACGCCCTGAGTCAAGGCCACCGTTCACTCACCTGGCCAGAGCCACGGTGTTGTTGGCGATGGGGTAGGGCGGGTCATCAAAGTCCCGGGCCTCACACCCGGTCACGTGACGTAGATCCACCAGGACGCTGCCACCCAGAGGTTTGTGGTAGACGTCTGGCAGCTCGGCGCCTGTCAGTTCCCGCACACAGGACAGGTGGCTGGTGATGACGTCAGAGGACTGGAGCAGGCCGTTGAACTGACTGGTCCCCCAGGGCTTGTCCGAGAACACGTGCTGAGGAAAGGAAACCACAGATAAAAAAGTGTTACCGTTTTGTTTTACCAAACTGTATGGCATTAAGATTAGTTACACAGTTAGTTCATATAAGTGCCAAAGAGTTTTAGGTGGGACTTGAGAGTAACATATGAATAA